TCACTGTCCAGAAGATAACCCTCCGCGTCGCAGCAGAGCAGAGAGACATGGCCAACATATGCACCGAGTTCTGGATCCTCCCCCGCACAGCCACAGTCGTAAAAGAAGGTTTCGAGGCTGGACAGGGGTACCACCAGGCTGTCAAGGAAGCGGGAAAGGGACACAAGCTGCCCCCCCCCCCCCGCCCCCCACGCGCACATAGCGGCGGGGGTGGTCGGGGCGATGCACAACTCGTTCGGGGGCGAGGGGGCCGAGGGAGAAGCCAAGAAAGTAATCGCGTCTTGGATGGAAGCAGCAGGGCCAGGGGAGTACGGGAAAGCATACGTGGACGAATGTTTCAGGATGTTCCGTTTGAGGGAGTGCTACAGCCCAGACGGAGCGCCAGAGCAGGAGCGCAAGGCAAAATTTCAGCACTCGCTCAACATGAGCCCCGACCTCAGGACGGTGATCCACCTGGCCAAGGTACCCCCAGCTCAAGTGCCCACGGTAGACATGAGATCCTTCCAGAGCGCCTTCACCCTGGGGCTGACCAAAACGGGGGGAACCAAGCCGACGGGAGCAGGGCCCAGGACGGAGTTGGAGAGGACAGTGGAGCGCCAGCTGAGGAATTTCCAGAGAGCGTGATGCAGCACGCACGTGCACTTGCCCGTGATCCTCGGAAGCTCGCGAATCTCTACAAGATGCGGGACAATTGGGTGCAGAGAGTCGGGCAGCTAGTCAGAGCAGTAGAATTCGTTAGGCGTCAGATGCCCCAACAGTTGCAATATACGTATTCAAATGGACAGTATTTTTTACACGGAAGACGCACAGTACCATAGTAAAGGAGAGTGAAGGAGAGATGGCGTTGAGTGTAGCCGTCTCGATCGAGCTGTTGCAGGGGGACAGCACAGAGCAGTTGATATTGCGATTGCTTGTATTGCAGTGAGCCATGGCGACCGCACCAGCATCTGCCACGGGTACGGCCGCGGCGAAGGCTGCGCCAGCTATTGCTACGGGTGCAAACGCAGTGCCAGTACCTCGCCAGCCGACAGGACCCCCTCCTGGCCCTCCTGGTCCGATTCGCTCGAAGGCAGCTCCGACCCGCACCAATCAGAATGACGACCTGGGGAGAGTGCACGCAGCTCAGCAGGCCCATCTTTCGACGGGCCGCATCCTGCGCGACCACTATTCCATCATATTGGGGCAGTGCAGTATGTTGAACAGCCAGCTCAGCTACATCCAGATCCAGAGGGATAATATCATGAACCCAGTCGTGAATGACACGCACCTTGAGGCCGACCGTGTCACCACGAGGCGCAACCTAGACAGTCAGATAAGCTACCTGACTGACGAGCTGGAGCGTCTGCATGAGTGCATCAGGGTGCTGGATGAATCTGACTACGGTGCGCAGCGTTTCGACTGGGAGATATCGAGACCGAGCGGGAGCAGCGAGAGGGATGAGGGGCAGTAGTGCCAGCGTGTCAGTATGTTTTGCTTCCCCTCCCTCCGAGAGCTGCTGCTGCCGCTCGCCCCCCCCCCCCGCCTCAGCCCGCCCCGCGACGACATCCACGGGCTGCTGCTGTATAAGTACAGCCAGCAGGACAGCCCTGGACGCGGGGGGAGGGGGTCGGCCACAGTCAGTGAATCTCGAGTTTTTTCTCATTTTTTTCCTCCCAGGCCTCAAGGGGCCAGAGGTTCAGCAGCACGGGGTGCGCGGCTCGCCCCATGAAGGGGTAACCGCACACACCCCCGAGTTCTGAGGTATAAAATCTGCGACGGGAGCATCTGCCGAAGCGGCAGCGCTTGCAGCATGAGGCTGCGGCGTTCGCCGTGGGCGGCAGAGGGGGGACAGGCAAAGGCCCCATCCTTGTTTGCTTCCATATCCTTCGTAGGGGCCCGACGTGCTGCAAGCGGACCGGACATGGCCCCCAACGGCTCCACCACCACCACCACCACCTCCTCCTCCTCCTCCTCCTCCTCCTCCTCCTCCTCCTCCTCCTCCTCCTCCTCAGAGTCGGGCCCTCCTGCGGGCCCCGTGGAAACTCCGTCTCATCCTCCAGGGAATCGAGATCAGCGGCGCCCAGGGGCCTCCAGGGGCAATTCACCGGGGAGAGCGGCGCCACGGTGGACGCCCTGCGCGCGCACTGGCAGCCCGTCTTCTCCGCCAAGGCGGTCGATGTAGACCGCGCGAAGCAGTGCCTCGAATCGCACCTGCGGCAGGGGGCCACCATCGACGTCGTCGCGCCGAACAAGTACAACATTCGCGCATTTCTCCGCCGCGCGGCGCCATCCGCCCCTGGCCCAGAACGACTGCCAGATTCGGCCTGGCTGGCGCACAATGACTCGCTCGATATGTTGGAGGACCTCCCCCTCTACCTCTGCTCCAACAACCCGTTTATCAGCGACCTCAACGACCCCGGCTCCGCCCCCCTGCCCAAGGGCGACTTCCTCGTGGGGGAGCTCGCAACAGATCGCGCGCCGGAGGACACCACGCCACTCTCGCGCAAGGACACCCACAGCAAAGCCACCGCAGGCGCAGCCAACTGTCATCAAGAACGCGGTGTCGGACCGCACGAATCTCGCGTCGCAGGGCTTCGTCGTCGGCCGCGGCTTCACCCGGCACATTGCACGCCTCGATGCCGAGATGCGTCGGACGGGGGTCATGCCAGACGCGGATCGCCGTCTCCCCGTCTTCACGAGCTTCGACTTCGCGCGGCGGCATCCCCGTCGCTTGGGCGTGCTTGGCTTTTCGCGTCCCTCGAGCGCTTCCACATGCCCATAGGCCTCATGAACCCCTTCCAGCAGATGCACTGCGCGCCGCACAGCTACGTCTTAATTGACGGAGTGCGCCACTTCACGTTTGCGATCGAGTCTGGCGCGGGCACGGGCGACATTGACTTGCTCACAAGTCCAACATTTTCCGCGAGGCATCTGGACCGTTCTCTGCCGTTGCCAAGCTAGCGCCCCTCTCTCTTTCTCTCTTTCTTTCCCAAGCCTCGCAAGCGCGTAACGGTGCCGCTCTGGGCCGCCGCGACCCCGGCCGTCATCGCCTAGACGAAGTCTCTCCTGGCCGCGCTCTGCCCTTCCTGGCGCCGTTTCTCGGTCGCGCGGCGGGCCAGGTGTTTCGGGGCCTTCCTGGGGCCCTCGGCCCTCCTCGCGTGTCAACGCCTCGCCCCCGGGCAAAAGCGGTGGCAGCGGGGGACTATGCTGCAGCTTGCGCAGACTGGCAGCGACGCCACTGCCAGATTGTACAATACATCGACTCTCTCCACGCTCAGCCATGCCGCCCAGTCTTCCCGTTCGAAGCCAGAATCGCTCGCCGCGAACTTCATAGATTCCACCAGATGTGTAGCTTGCCGCCGAATACATTTCGCAAAGTAGACTTGCTTGCGATGGCGGAGTTGAGCCCGTTTCCTGTCATCCGCTCTGGTCAAGTCATCACTGCAGTTGCCGCCATGCGCTCTGCCTTGTTCACGCCCAGCTGAGATTGGGAGCCTTTCCGCGACCGTCTTCGTGACACCGCGTGGGAGGAGAGCACGGCGCATTCCTTCCATCGGTGGGAAAATGGGCTCTGGTTTCCGCCTTGCTGGGAAGAGACAAGGGCCACCGCGCATGCCATGCCGTGAGGCCAGAGCTTCCCACTCTTTTGTGCTGAGACAGTGGCCGCGGCAACCCGCGCTGCTGCCCGTGAAATTCGCGATGCGCCCGCAGCTGACCAGCCGCGCTGACACAAGGTGAAGCGAATCATAGCCCAGTCTCGCTGCAAGGCCGCGTTGACGTCGCCGTTCACAGTCACGCCCCGCAAGCACATCGAAGCCTGGGGCATCCCCGAGCCACCGCCGCCTGCAGAGCTCTCTACTCGCCAGTCCGCCACCAGCTCAGCAATCGGCGAAGTCCGTCCCAGCTGGCGCTGGGCCGCATTCAAGACTCTCGCAGGCGGTTGGAAAACAACACACCGCATGCACGTGTTCACGCAGAGGCCGTGCGTCTTCGGCTGCACGGGCGCGCCAGGTTCATTTCCCCACTGCCTCTCCTGCCCCGTCCTTGTGAGCCTTCCCTGGTCCCCCGACTCGCCTCCGCTCATCAGTCAGCACGTTCCCTACGTGGGCCATGGGCCCTGCAGCTGCCTGCCCGTCTGACCCTGCCAGCGACTTCTCGCTGCGGCGGGCGATCCACCGGGTGGTGCCCGGCCTCCACATTGAAAGCAGAATGAAGCAGTCCGCAGCGCCGTCGCCAGACGCAACCGCGTCCGCTTTCAGCGCAGCCCGTGCCCTATTGTGGCGGAGCGGCAACCACGCTGCGTCTGTAGCGTCGTTGCGCGGCCGAGGTGAGACGGACGAGTTCGCCTCAAGCTACTCGCATTCCTCCTCCTCCTCCTCATCCTCCTCCTCCTCCTCCTCCTCCTCCTCCTCCTCCCCCCCCTTTCCGAGGCCGAGTATGGAGCGGTCTTGTTCTTGCTCCCGCCACGCTCGGCTTTGCGATTGGCAGCCATTGAGCATTTTATTTGAACGGTTGGACGCCGTCGGGGGTTGGCACACAATGAATCTGGCCGAGTCTTGATGGCAGTACGATGAGGAAGAAAACGGTGTTCAAATGCAACCGTTGTTTTGCTCGTGCCGCACTTCGCCGCTCTTATCCCGATGCTTCTGAACTCGTTTTGCCGGCGCGTGACGGCATACACGTTGTGGATCAGTTGTGGAAGCATGTTGTCCGCTCCCATCTTCTCCCTACCCCCCAAAAAAGGCGGAGGGCCTTCGCAGAAGCTAGTCACCCTTACCTTGCCGCCTATGGGAGTTTGTTTCATCTGTCGCGACGACGCACGTTAGTGGCCCCGCCCCCACCCCCCCACCCCCCCGCGGTAACGTGACGATTCGCGCGGGCGCCGTCTGTGAGTTAACCACTCCAAGGCATTCCCAGACAGCGCCTGCGCAAGTCGTGACGTTACCGCCCCTTTCCAAGCCCCCCTGGCAACGTTTGTTATCGGCAGTGGATAGAAAGAGTATCTTTTGAGCGCCCCCAAGGTGCCGCATGTCACGACGTGAACTTGCGGCCGAGAACTGTCAGGGTCACTGTCGGCAACGCCCAGGTGTTCGTTAAGGCGCCAGAGCCACAATGCTTAGACACCCCAGCCATTGCGACTTTCAGCAGGCCGTCCACCGTCTCAGTGCGGTTGGGGAGCAAGGAGGATTCCGCGCTGGTGGCTGGAGGCCGCGCGTCACTAGCGATGGCCTCGCAGAGAAACGCGCCGCCGGAGAAGCCGCCGCCCACCCCACGGCGGCACCCCTACATCGAGCACGCCACGCTGGGCGACCCGGAGGAGTTCTTGGTGTCGGACTTCGTCCTGATGGAGTCCCCGACGCTGGCAGACATGTACTGGAGCCAGGGTGCAGGTAGCACGTTGGGACCAGTGAGGCGCTCCGCGGTCCTCTTCCCTGCGGTGCTGGGCGTGCTGAAGCTGCGCTGGCTGGTGCGCCTCGACGCGGCAGTACGCGAGCTGTGCTCGGACGGCCCCACCGCCAGCGTCGCCGGGTTTCACAGGCTGCTGGAGTGCTTCGTGGACATCCTGTGTGGGTTCCAGGACTGCGCCTACTCGCCCATCCAAGCCTACAACCTGTGCATCGAGGCGCTCCGCGCACAGTTCGGTGCCACTGCGTGGCCGCTCTTCCTGGCCTACGTGAACACGCACGACAGGGGCGTCTCTCGGAACGCAGTCGGCGGGCTACCCTCCGTGTCGAACCCCAGCACGTCCATGTCATCGCCGGCGAGCCAGGCGTGCTGGCGGGCCACGGACGACACCTTCGTCGCCTGGCTGTCGCGGCAGGACGGGCTGCTGCTGACGGCCTCCGACGTCATGGAAGAGTTCGACTATTACGGCGTCCCGGCGCCAGTGGTGCGGACAAGTTTTCCCAACCTCATGGCCTGGAGCACGGCCACGTACACCACGCGCCACCGCTTCGTGCGCGAGGCGCGGCTCGAGTCGGCGCACCTGGCCGTGCTGCTCGAGATGCCCTCGCTGCGCAGCAAGTGGACCCTGGACCCGGAGGAGACGCTGCACATCGTGCGGGAGATCTGCGCCAACCCGAGGACCTTCAGCACCCGCATCCGCAGCAGGCTGTACCACAGCCTGTTGCGGGTCCCGCGCGGCCCCCTGAAGATCCCCGAGAACATGTTGGCCAAGGAGGCCACCGAAGAGCAGCTGCGCGAGGTCTGGTCCGCCACGACGGGCCCCAGCGACGCGGGCGGGCTCACCAACATGGCCCTTGAGGCCATGCGGGACAAGCATCCGCCCTGGCTGGTCGGCGGGGAGGTCGTGAGTTCGCGCTTCAAGAGGGCTCCCTCCGCGAAGCTGCCCAGCCATCCCCTCTCCGCGCGGGCGGCGTCGGCGCTGTCCGGGCGGTTCGACGCCTCGAGGAGCGTTCTTAGCGCGAGTGCCGCCAGGGCGTAGACAGCGCAGATGTTCGGCTGCGGGCTCGCCTCTCATACTACGGTGGGGGCGTTGTTTAAGGAACGTGCCCTTGAGGCTTCAGACCCTGCAGGATTCCTTATCTGATGAGGGCGGCGGTTATATCCATGGCCAAGCCTCAATTGGCGCTCCACCAGCTTTGAGACCCTGGATTCCTTAGCCGAGGGTTCCTTATCCAATTCTTTTACTGTAGTGTCAACTTTTTCTCCCCCTCCTTGTGCCGCGAATTGCGCACAAGTTGCCGGCTCCTGTGAGCGCATCCCTGCTCACTTCAAAGACTGGAGACGATGCGGCGCGCGAACGGGCGTTGGTTGTCCGAAGTCGCGAGGAATGCTGAAGGCATCCTTGTACCGCTCCGCCTTTTACCTCTGCTCGGACACCGCGCGGTGCGAGGAATCATCTGTCTAGAACCCCCTCCCCCTCCGATAGAGCGCCCTGCTGTCGGCCAACACGCTGCCCCAGCTGGGGTGTTCCAAAATCAGCACCCTCTTCGTGGAAATGCGGGTGGACCTTCATCTCTCGGGTAAGGCTAGCGGAAGGGACGACGACGACGACGATGACGACGATCCCGACGACGACGATCCCGACGACGACGATCCCGACGACGCCGATCACGACGACGATGACGACGACGACGACGACGACGACGACGACGACGATCCCGACGACGACGATCCCGACGACGCCGATCACGACGACGACGACGACGACGACGACGACAATCCCGACGACGACGATCCCGACGACGACGATCCCGACGACGACAACGACGATCACGGCGATCACGACGACGACGAGGACGACGACGACGACGACGACGACGACGACGACGACAACGACGGCGATCCCGACGACAACGACGACAACGACGACGACGACGACGACGACGACGACGACGACGACGACGACGACGACGGCGACGACGAAGCGGCGATGGCGACGGCAGCGGCGGCGGCGACGACGACGAGACGGCCACGACTTTGAATTTTGAGCCTCCGGGCTGTCCCCCGTGCAGCGCAGAAGGCCCGAGTAGGCCGCCGCCCAGGTGCCAGGCGGTGGAAGCAAGACAAGGCTGGCCCCGCCGGCGTGGATTGGCAGAAGCGCGGCGGGATCTGGCCAGAGAATGCAATCCCTCGCCTAGAGGTAAGACCCTTCGCTGGAGTGACCTTGAGTGCGGCCCTCTGGGGTCCCCCGATCGACGAACGCGACGCGGTAGCAGCGGCTTGCGCGCCCGGGTTTAGCCCATCCAAGGCCCCCATTTGGCCTCGCACCAGAGGTCGCTCTTGCATGGGGCCACTCTTGGCCGAAGAGAAGGCCCCTCCCCCCCACCCAGAGACCAAAATTTCCGACGCCGTGACAAGATGCTGGCATTATGGAAAAAGCACGACCACAGCCCTCGACCCCATCTTGGCATTTGATCTTCCTCGCACTGGATCGAGCCGCGAGGGGCCCAGGACCCGAGTCAGGGCGGAACCGCCCGCCCCAGATACGAGGATGGAGGGCAGGCTATTTTCAAGATGTGGTTTTCGCTTCAGCGCCGCGCACATGCGCTGAAAAGTTGTTACAGGCCACGAGGATGGTGGTCGTTTTTGCCCAGAGCTTCCGCTCTGCATTCCTTCCACGTGTTACTGCCATAATTTAGAGAGTTAGCAAGCACCTGCGGATAGAGGACGGCTCCATATCAAAGAAAGGTTGCCACCAGCTACAAGGATGGAGGTCGTTTTGCAATTGGAGTTCTCCCCTGGCATTTCTTCCACGTGGTGTTGCCAGAAGTCTGTGAAGGTTGTGGCGCGGTCACGGATGGAGGGCGGCGCTTCTCAAAACAGAGCTCTCGTTGTGCACATCCGCGAGCTTGCTAGTGCTGCCCCACGGCACTTCCCCTCACGGGAAGATGGAGGGCGGCTCCTCACAAGGGCCTGGCAGGCCCCTGGGGGGCTCCCGTCTCTCCAAGGGGGAGACGGGGGGGGCGGCTTCCCGCAAGGAAGAGGCTCCCTGGTAGAGACACGGCAGGGCCCACTTCGAGCCGATCGATCCGACTCGGTATCGATTCTGGCCATATCGATTCTGGCCAGCCCGGTCTGGCCGGTTCGGTTCCGATGTTCCCACGATCCGATGCGGCCCGATGTTTCCATGGCACTGCTGTGCAGCCTGGCCCAGCCGATGCGATTCGCTTTCGACTCCGTGGTGATGCAGCCAGATCCGATGCACATGTCGATTCGATCCGACGTATCCGTTCGATGCTGACTGATCCTGCATGATCGAGGGCGCCCTCGAGGGCGCGAAGCCATTCGCGGTTCGCGGTTCGGCTCCGATTCTTCCTCGTCCTCTCCTCCGTTGGGGGGTGGTGGCGAGAGCGCGAAGCTATCCGCGCACCACGAAGCGCGAAGCTAGGCGCCCTGGGTGGTGGAGAGCCTGGCGCGGGAGGCTGCGCTGCCGCATCGCTGGCGTTCCCTGGGTCTGCCCAGCGTCCCCCTCCCGTGGGGGGCCGGGCCCGCCAAGTCGCAGCGCAACGCCGGGGGGCCGGCCTCGGCGGCACGGGCGGCGTCCAGGCAAGAACAGTTTTTGATCTGCGGGGCGAGAGCGAACCTCAGTTTTTGATCTGCGGGGCGAGAGCGAACCTCTTCCGCTAAGAGCTGGGCGGGCTTCGCACGGCTTTCATCAGCAGAGGGGGGGGGGCGAATGAAGGCGGGGCCCCACGTCAAGGCCGGGAGAGGGCAAAGCCCTGGGATCGTCCAGGCAAAAACAGGGAGTCGCCAATCGGGGGTCGCGCAAGGGGAGGGGGGGCGAGAGACGGGAGGGGGCGGCGAGGGCGGCAGAGAAGGAGCCCCCTGAGGGCCACTACGACTTGGCATCGCTCGGACGTGTGCATGTTTTCTCGGCGAGAAGCATCGAGGACCTGGACCATCGAGCAAAAAAAACACGCACGAAACCGAAAAATGCACGGGAAATGGACGTCCGAGCGACGGCAAGAAGAGGGGCCCTCGAGGGCCGAAAAGGGAATATTTTTGGGGGGGCACGATTGCCGGAGCAGTTTTCACCTTGAGGATTTCCGCGGTCGTGGGCCGCGACCCTGCCATGCCGTCGCCAGCCCTAGCAGGAGACACACTGACCGCTGGGCACTGTCGCCCACGGGAGAAACGCGCCTCACGAGCATGCGGGAGCAAACGGCCTCCACGCCTTGCACCAACGCCCAGCCGCTTTGTGTCTCCTGCCAGCTGCCGCCAGCAACCTACGCCCACAGTTTGGCCACGCGCACATCCAGCCAACGGTTAGGCACCAGGACACTGCCGCGAGAGCCGCTGGGGAAGCAAGCAGGATTCACTCCGCAATCAGGCGTCGAAAGCAAATGCATGGAGGCAAAAGCGAGCTCACCGTTGAGCTATGAGCGGTATGCCTCGCACTGCCCTAGCAGGCAATGCGAGAAGACAGTGCAATGACAGAATGCCCACGGCGCCTACCTACGGCAAGGGCGCCTCCAGACATCCGACGAAGACGACGGTCACCTCCAGGCACACGAAGATCACGACGGTCACCTCCAGGCACTCGGAGCTGACGAACTCCAGGCTCGCGAAAAGGACGACGGCCACCTCCAGGAGCACGAAGAACACGATGGTCACTCAAGCGCCCTTGAACACCTCCGGGCCCTTGATCGCCACCAGGCCCTCGCCCACGCCGAGGCCCCCGACCACCTCCAGGCCCAGGATCACGAAGGGCACCTCCACGCACCCGAAGCCGACGGCTGTCACCTCCAACTTCATCAGGGAGCTGGGGAGGCCCAGGCTGCGGTCCACCATGTGCACGATCATTCCCAGGCACACGACAAGGAGGACGGTCATCTCTGAGCACGCGAGAACATTGATGGTCACTTCCAGGCACACGAAGATCACGATGGTCAGCTCCAGGCCCTGGAACACCGACGGCCGCCAGGCCCTTGATCCCCTCCAGGCCCACTATGGCCTCCAGGCCTAGGATCACGTCCACCGCCTTCTCGCACTCGACCATGTCGATGGGTACCTCCACGCAATGCCGACGGGCACCTCCAGGCACACGAAGGTCGGAACGGTCACCTCCATGCACTCGCAAAACATGTCGGTCACCTTCAGGCACTCGCAGATCACGCCGTTCACCTCCAGGTAGTCGATGATGACGGCGCTCACCTCCAGGCCTTGGAGCATTTCGAGGCCCTTGATCACCACCAGGGCCTCAATCGCATCCAGGTCCACGATCGCGTGCGAGTCCTGCGCGGCAGACACCTCAGAGCGCCCGTTGACGACATCGGCATCGACCTGCACCACGAAAAGGGCGCCGTCGGACTTCAGCTTCGCACCCCCGGTGAACTCGCCACTCAT